GTCCCACTGGAAGGTCACACAAGAAAACACCATCATAGCTCTAAACCGCCTAAACCTTGCCATCTAAATATTCCAAACCAAGTTGGTTTTCACAAGTGGTTTTTCACTTTTCACTGATGGGGCGCTTACACACCATCTGCACAACCATTTTCTGTTCCCATCTCTTTGTCTCTGTCCCCATCCCTGTCCTCAGCACCTACCATGGCAAGCATGCTGGTGCAAAGGCCCCGAGGTGCCGCCTGCACAACCAGCAGCATTGACCCCTGTATGTTGTCGCCCTCGCCTCTGCTGAGTGATCCTCAGCCATGCGGGTGACACCTCATCATTCTTCACCGCCGCGCCGAGGAAGCTGCAGGCCAAAAAAGTTTGCGATTGTATGCCTCTTCCAGGAGAACACCTCAGCTTTCCACATTGCAAAACTCACCATGAAGTAGACCCCATTCCTTGGTCTCTCCCAGTGGCTCGATGTGGTGTTTCGGGTCATGGCGACGACACAGCAGAATGAGAAGCAGATGGCCGCAAAAAACACAATGGGCAGATCCATAGAGACTTCAGGTGCAGCAAAGGTACGGCACAGTTCTTGTTGTAGGAGTTGGCTGGTCGGTGCTTGGTTTGGGAATAACTTGGACCTCCTCCTTGACGAGCACTGATATGCAGACCTTTTCATCTTCTCTTTTCCTTTTTGCTGATTTTTCAGGTAATGTGTGATGATGGGGCATACAGCTGACCCAAACATCAGTGAAAACAACTTTGGGATCAGTCGAAGGGGTAAACCGGTAAAGTGAATGGTTTTTTATTATTTTATTTTATTTTGAACGTTGGCAGGAACAACAACAACAACAACAACAAAGCCTTTAGTCCCAAACAAGTTGGGGTAGGCTAGAGGTGAAGCCCATAAGATCTCGCGACCAACTCATGGTTCGGGCACATGGATAGCAAGATTCCACGCACCCCTGTCCATAGCTAGTTCTTTGGTGATACTCCAATCCTTCATATCTCTCTTTACAGACTCCTCCCATGTCAAATTCGGTCTACCCCGACCTCTCTTGACATTCTCCGCACGCTTTAGCCGTCCGCTATGCACCGGAGCTTCTGGAGGCCTGCGCTGAATATGCCCAAACCATCTCAGACGATGTTGAACAAGCTTGTCTTCAATTGGTGCTACCCCAACTCGATCTCGTATATCATCATTCCGGACTCGATCCTTCCTTGTGTGGCCACACATCCATCTCAACATACGCATCTCCGCCACATTGAACATGTGGCCTTTTAGTCGGCCAACACTCAGCGCCACACAACATTGCGGGTCGAACCGCCGTCCTGTAGAACTTGCCTTTTAGCTTTTGTGGCACTCTCTTGTCACAGAGAATGCCAGAAGCTTGGCGCCGCTTCATCCATCCAGCTTTGATTTGATGGTTCACATCTTCATCAATACCCCCATCCTTCTGCAGCATTGACCCCAAATATCGAAAGGTGTCCTTCTGAGGCACCACATGCCTAGTAGTACTGAAACTGCACATTATGTACTCGGTTTTAGTTCTACTAAGCCTAAACCCTTTCAATTCCAAGGTTTGTCTCCATAACTCTAACTTCCTATTTACCCCCGTCCGACTATCGTCAACTAGCACCACATCATCCGCAAAGAGCATACACCATGGGATATCTCCTTGTAATATCCCTTGTGACCTAATCAATCACCATGGCAAAAAGATAAGGGCTCAATGTTGACCACTGGTGCAGTCCTATCTTAATCAGGAAGTCATCAGTGTCGACATCACTTGTTCGAACACTTGTCACAACATTATCGTACATGTCCTTAATGAGGGTAATGTACTTCGCTGGGACTTTGTGTTTCTCCAAGGCCCACCACATGACATTTCGCGGTATCTCATAGGCCTTCTCCAAGTCAATGAACACCATATGCAAGTCCTTCTTTTGCTCCCTGTATCTCTCCATAAGTTGTCGTACCAAGAAAATGGCTTCCATGGTCGACCTCCCAGGCATGAAACCAAACTGATTTTTGGTCACGCTTGTCATTCTTCTTAAGCGGTGCTCAATGACTCTCTCCCATAGCTTCATTGTATGGTCATCAGCTTAATTCCACGGTAATTACACAACTCTGAACATTCCCCTTGTTCTTGAAGATTGATACTAATATACGTCGTCTCCATTCTTCTGGCGTCTTGTTTGCCTGAAAAATGAGGTTGAAAAGCTTGGTTAGCCATACTATTGCTATGTCCCCGAGGCCTTTCCACACCTCAATGGGGATACAATCAGGGCCCGTCGCCTTGCATCCTTTCGTCCTTTTTAAAGCCTCCTTGACCTCAGACTCCTGGATCCGCCGCACAAAACGCACGTTGGTCTCATCGAAGGAGTCGTCCAGTTCAATGGTAGAACTCTCATTCTCCCCATTGAACAGCTTGTCAAAGTACTCCCACCATCTATGCTTAATCTCCTCGTCCTTCACCAGGAGTTGGTCTGCTCTGTCCTTGATGCATTTGACTTGGCCAACATCCCTCGTCTTCCTCTCGCGGATCTTGGCCATCTTGTAGATGTCCCTTTCGCCTTCCTTCGTGCCTAGCCATTGGTGGAGGCCCTCATACGCCCGACCCCTTGCCCTCGCTTTGTGGCCTTCTTCGCCATCTTGTACTTCTCTATGTTGTCTGCACTCCTATCCAAGTATAGGTGTCTGAAACAATCTTTCTTCTCCTTGATCGCCTTCTGGACATCATCATTCCACCACCAGGTATCCTTAGCTTCGCTTCTCCTTCCCTTGGACACTCCAAACTCCTCCGAGGCCACCTTACGAATGCAAGTCGCCATCTTCATCCACACATTATTCGCATCCCCTCCTTCCTCCCGAGGGCCCTCCTTAATGACCCTCTCCTTGAACGCCTGAGCTACCTCCCCCTTGAGCTTCCACCACTTCGTTCTAGCGACTTTGGCACGCTTATCCCACTGGACACGGATCCGAAAGCGGAAGTCAGCAACCACCAGCTTATGCTGAGGGACAACACTCTCTCCAGGTATCACCTTACAATCTAGGCACGCACGCCTATCTTCTCTTCTCGAGAGGATGAAATCAATCTGGCTAGAGTGTTGGCCACTACTAAAAGTCACCAGATGTGATTCTCTCTTTTTTTAAAAGAGGGTGTTAGCTACGATCATGTCATAGGCTAGAGCAAAGCTCAAGACATCTTCTCCTTCTTGATTCCTGATGCCATAGCCAAAGCCCCCATGCACCCCTTCAAAACTTGTGTTAGATGTACCCACGTGGCCATTGAGGTATCCTCCTATGAAGAGCTTCTCGCCAATCGGTACACTCCTAACCATGTCCTCAAGGCCTTCCCAGAACTCCCTCTTGGTGTTCTCATTGTGGCCTACTTGCGGGGCATGCATGCTGATAACATTGAGAACTAAGTCCCCAACTACCAGCTTGACCAGGATAATCCGGTCCCCACGTCTCTTGGCGTCTATCACTCCATCCTTGAGGCTCTTGTTGATCAAGATGCCTACGCCATTTCTGTTTGCAGCCATCCCCGTGTACCACAGCTTGAAGCCGGTATCCTCCACCTCCTTCGCCTTTTGACCCCTCCATTTGGTTTCTTGGACGCAAAGGATATCAACACTTCTCCTCACCGCTGCATCAACTAGCTCCCGAAGCTTCCTTATTAGAGACCCTACATTCCACCTACCTAAGTGAATCCTCCTAGGCTCGGCTAGCTTCCTTACCCTTCGCACTCGTCGAGTCAAATGCGAAGACCCTTGCTCATTTTCCACTACATCCGGGCGCCGATGTAGCGCGCCACTAAGGATGCAACAACCCGATCCTCGCTCACTTGACACCATATCCAGATCAAGATACAGCGCGCCACCGGGGGGGTGGCGGCCTGGCCCTTGCCCATTTGACACCACACCCGGGTTCCGATGTGGCGCGTCGCTGAGAGGGTTACGCCCCAACGAAAATCTTTTGGGTTTCATCTCCATAAGAGTGGTTGGGTTTTTACGTTGGCTGGCCAAGCCTATCACAACCCTCCTCCTTTTACCCGAGCTTGGGACCGGCTATGTTGAGACAACATAGAACTGCCAAATTCATTGATCAGAAAGAGGTATTACAAGAACACCCCCAAAGGAGGAATGCACCACATAAAGGCGAGTGCTAATGGTTTTTGATATTTAAAGGGTGTTCTGGGAGCTGGAGCCGGGAGTTAATAAAAAAGACTCAGGCAAAGCTAGGAGTTAAAAGATAGAGAATCCATACATGTACATTGTGTGGGAAAAAGGGAACCTTTCATGTTTCTAAACATCACGGAAAAACATAATAACGTATGCAGGTACATTGTACAAAAGTATGTGCATAAGAAACAAAAGTGAAATATATGTCCATTTTACATTCACGAGTTCGCTATACCTGAAATGTTCTGTTTTTGTGAAACAAGGTTGGATGATTTCAGTTCAACAGAGATTATAGCTTTCATCAACATTGCAATCACAGCTATAGCGGCGCTACCTTGTATGCTAAAAGCTCACAAACTGAATAGGTAGTAAAGAAAGATTAAGGAATGACTCGGTGAGAAAGAGCACTCACATGGCATCATCTCATCGGCAATGGCAGCAGTAGATGAAATCTCACCAGCAATCACATTATCCTCTGGTTCTTAACACGAGGTAATGTCAGCATATAACTAGAAGCACTATGCAGAAGTGAACAGTTCACCTCAGATGGCTTGATGACTCTTATTAACCCAAGACAGGTTGTAAACTAGCATGTTTTCTATGTCAAAAAGCAGCAGCCTTCTACCATAAACATCCAAACTTGGGTGCAAATCATTAGTTTCTGATGATTTCGTAATCATCATGAGTTGACAATGCAAAGCACACATATTGTCTTTTTTCCACATTCAGCAGAAGTCTACTACTCTACTCAACATTCCAATAAGGTCAGCAAAGCTAAGGCAAGATAAATAGTAAATACATCAATAGTCTCAACAAATGCCTTACTATAGAACAACGGTTCGACCTGCTATTTTTGTTAACCCTTTTCCAGTCATTTCAGCTCTAACTTCAGAAACATCGGCCCATCTGTCAATGTTAGCATAAATGTTTGACAGGGTTACATAATTTCCAGCATTATCTGGTTCAATTTCAAAAAGCTTCTTTGCTGCAACTTTTCCAAGCTCAATATCACCTTGGAGTATGCATCCACGCAACAATGCACCCCATGATCCCGGATGAGGTTTTCCTGGCATTGACTTAATAAGCTCATATGCATCTCTCACCATCCCAGAACGCCCGAGAAGACTGACAAGGCAAGCATAGTGATCGCCAGATGGCATAATCAAATACTCATTCTTCATCATTGCAAAGTACCTTTTCCCTTCTTCTACTAGGCCAGCATGATTGCAAGCTGTCAAAACAACTGTAAACACAGCATTATCTGGGGAGAGGCCCTCCAAGAGCATCCTAGTGAAAAGCTCAACAGCCTTGTTAGCTGAACCATGGAGGCAATGACCTTGCATCATCGAACAGTATGAGAACACATCTCGAACTGGCATGGACTCAAATAAAACAGTAGCCCTCTCCATGTTCCCACACTTTGCATTCATATTTATGAGACCAGCCAACACATGGGCATTGTTCATATCTATGGAATAAGTCGTGATGTAACCTTCAATCCATTTTGCCAACATGATGTTACCCAGTTGGGAGCACGCTGTCATCAGAGCAACAATAACAAGCTCGTCTGGGCATATGCCTTTCTCACGGAACTCCTTAAAAACCCTTAAAGCCTCTCCAGGATAACCATTCTGTGCATAGCCTGATATCATCGCTGACCATGAGAACACATCCCGGTCATGTAACTTATCGAACAACATTTTGGCAACTTGCATATTTCCTGCCTTTGCATACCCACCGATCAACGATGTGTGCGCTGCAGCAGTTCTTTGGGGCATTTCTTCGAACAGCCTCCTTGCACTCTCCAGGTCCCCGCACTTCACGTACCCACCAACCATGGCGTTCCAATGAACCACGTTCCTGTGTGGCATTCGGTCAAAAATCTCCCGGGCAGACACGATGTCACCACAGTCGACGTAGACCATGATAATGGCAGTCCAGGAAACCTCGCTGGGAATGACCATTGAGTCGAAAAGCATCCGGGATGCGCCAGCAGAGCTGCAGCTTCCGTAGAACTGGATGAGCGCTGTGCGGACGAAGAGGTCGGCATCCAGGCCGAGGCGTATGGCTGCAGCGTGCAAAGCGGAGCCAGTGGGTTTGCAGGGTACGCGGGAGCACGCGCGGAGGCAGGAAGGGAAAGAGAATGCGTCGGGGCAGGCGGTGCGGCGGACGATATTGAACTGCGCAAGCGCAGCATGGAGCGGGGAATGGCGAGAGTGTGAGGCGAGGACGGCGTTGCGGAGGCTGAGCGGGACGGCGTGGGAAGGGAGAGCCGAGAGGAAGGAGTCGGCGACGGAGGGGGAGGCGAGCGAGTCGCAGGCCGCGGTGAAGCGCGCGAGGAGGGCGTGGTGGTTGTGGAGGCCAAGGCGAACGATACGGGCGTGGAGCTGGGCGAGGCAGCGAAGAGTACAGCAGCGGCCGAGGAGGGTCGCGACCGGAGGGGATGGGCGGCCGGCGGCGGGGGTCATGCGGCTGCGGCGGCGAGTGGAGAGGCCGGTAATGGCATTTGGAGCTGCGTTTGGGGCCTGGGTGTGCCTTTTTTCGGCTCGCGTCACATTGGTGGGTTCGGTTTGCAGCCTGGGCTCGCCTACATGGTAAATGGACGGGCCCAAGAAAAGTAGCTGCTTCATTCGCTTCCTTTAGATCACTCGTTTGTTTCGATTATTTTTTATATACATTTATTTATTATTTATTACCCCTAAAAAATTATTATTTATATTCCTAAATATATAAAAATATTCATAATTATATTCCTAAAAGGACCCGATAACGCCCCAACATTATTTTTTGACCATGGCCAATCAAAAGTTTTCGATGAAAATTTTAGTGGCGCGATGATGGCAAGTTTAGTTGGCCAGTATGGCAAATCCGTGCTTGATGCATTTTTGTCAGGAAATTGTCTGTGTGTCAACTAAACTTATCATCCTTGCGTCACTAAAATTGTCATCAAAAATATTTAATTTGCCATGGTAATAAAACAAAAGTTAGGGATTAAAAAAATTTATGCAGTGTTAAAAAGATATTCGTGTAAATTTTAAAGAATGCTTGATGGCATTCAAAAAAGTACGCTAAAAATTTCACACATTTTTTAAACGTTTTTCACATTAAAAAATACAATGTAAACAAATGTTCACATAATTCAAAAAGTATTTCATACTATTAAATAAAACGTAGGTGACATTTAAAAATGTAAAATAAAATTGAAAAGAAATATGTTCATGACATTTTTTAGAAATTTTTATACAATCTATATCAATATAAAAAGACCCAAAGGGGCAGATCCAAACCATCTTGACCATCAAATCATGTTATCTAGCGGTTCAAATCGCTCCAATGTTGAGCATCAAACACGTTTAATGCTCTAATTACCTACCACTGTCATTGATTATAAACACATTTTGACTCAACGCTATCCCATGAAATCTGCCATGTAATTAATATCATACCATTCCCGCGAAAATAATAATTGATATCTTACCAAATACCAACGTGCAACAGATATATCTTACCTAATATAACGTGCAACTAATATCATATCTAATATAAACGCGCATTGCACGTACATTATTACTAGTGTAAAGAAAATGTTCACATAATTTAAAGAAAACATTTTGTGCCAGGCAGAAAAATGTTAAGTGTTTATAAACAATGTTTATGATATATACGAAAAATGTAAAAAGTGAATGAAAAAATCAAAAATGTGTTAGAAAAACAAAGAAAACCGATGGTAAATACAACAGCCTCTTGTTGGGCTGGCCCAGAAAGTGATTTACTATATGGACAACCATGTTGTTGTCAGTCACGAAAAGGAATGAAAAGAAGATTGCAGAGAAGGAGTTCAATAGGATGGGAAAGATTAGTAGGGTCGAGTCCGATGATGAATCAAGGGATGCTAGAACAGTTTTGGATAATGTAGGAAAATGACGAGTGCGGTGGAAGTTTGTCAGGAAACTACTCTGTCTCCTGTGACCATTATGTGCCGGAAGAAAAACAAGTCCTTGATAGTGTTGCTGTAAATTCAAAGAACTTGTTCGAGACTCTGAACAGAGGGAATTACCAGCACAAATATCATATTGCTTACTGGTGACCTTTTCAGCCACCTTTACATGTTCGAAACAAAAGCACACATTACAATGATCAAGACAGGAAGGTATTCTATACAGAGAAGTTTTTTAAGCGGAAGAGCATCAATGAAGTACACGCTGACAAGCACAGGCTGCATGATGCGACGGCTATGTACAAGGTACTAGACCAAGGAGAAATGAGTATTGTGAAGGAGTATGTTAGGAAATTACGGAAGCTATGTAAGACCATAGGAAAGAGTGCGGCGTTTATGCTCCCGGGCTCAGCTGCACCCGCACTGACGGAAAAAAAAAATAAAACAAATACTAGAAAAATACAAAAAAAATTGGGTGGTAGATAATTTGATGCGTGAAGTTCGCTACAAATTTCAACTCATTTGAACATTTGAGAAGCTCTCTGCAAAAAAAAACAAAATCAGGGTATGTAAAAAAGTTTACTGTGCACACACTGTTTTGACCTGATTTGTCTTTTTTGCCGAGAGCTGCTTAGATATCCAAATAAGTTGAAATTTTGAGCGGACCTCACGCATCAAATTATCTATCACACAAAAAATGGATTTGTTTAAAAAAATTTAGTTTTTTTTTGAATTTTTTTCTGACCGGGAGCAGATGAGCCTGGGCACTGATTTGGATTTTCGGATAGGAAAACGAGCCTTTGTGGAGAAGAAGGAATATGTTATGGACTCTGTTCAGAAGCCAGCCTACTATGTCAATGATTTCAAACTAAGGCTACATAATAGTTGGCGGAATGCAGTAGGGTGCAAGATCTGTGGGCCGAATGTGAATTGGGTGTAAGTAAAAGGAAAATGCTAACAAGGAAGAAGGCAGAACGGAAGGTGGTTAACTTTGTTGGGCGGCGGCAGTGCTCATGGCGCCGTTCCCTTCTTGAAGGCGCCGCTTTGGAAACCTTGGGGTTGGGCGGTGCTTGCGGGTGGTGGGCAACAGCGGTGGTGCAGTCCTATCCTAGCATAGATCTACATTTGTTGCTTGGAGATGGACTCGTTGAAAGTGCAACTATCCCTGGGTGGTTTTGGTAATTCCTAACAACATATAGCTCATTGAGCTAACATTATTCTAAGATTAATATTTTAGAAAAAGCTCAATGAATGGCATGACATGGATGAGGAAAGTGGATCCCTCAAAATTATAAGGACAAAAAGTTTGGCTCAAGCTTCAAGATCAAGACTCTACATTTTATATTTTAGTGATCCAAGATCACATTGAGACTATAGGAAAAGCCAATACTATCAAGGAGGGATGAGGTGTTGCTTAATGGCTTGCTTGCTCAAAGTGCTTAGTGATATACTCCAAAACCCTCAACTACCTTCCTACATCCATATTTGACCTAAACCAAAAGTCAAACTCGGCCCCACCGATTTTATCTATCCAGCGCCACCGAGTTTCAAATGTCATAGCCACTGCCACAAACCCTAGCAATTCTGTTTCACCGATAGGGATCTCGGTCTCACCAAGATGGGATTGTAATCTCTCTGTTTCCCTTCGTAACGTTTCGGTCTTACCGAGATGAGCGATCGGTCCCACCGAGATTGCAATGTAAACTCTCTGTTTCCCTTTTGTAACATTTCGGTCTCACCGAGATGAGCGAATCGGTCCCACCGAGTTTACCTGACCAACTCTCTGGTTAGCTTATTACCAAAATCGGTCCCACCGAGTTTGTGTAATCGGTCACACCGAGATTACGTTATGCCCTAACCCTAACCATATCGGTCCTACCGAGCTGCATCTCAATCCCACCGAAAATCCTAACGGTCACTAGGTTTGCTGAATCGGTCCGACCGAGTTTAACCATTCGGTCCGACCGAGTTTGGCAAATTGTGTGTAACGGTTAGATTTTGTGTGGAGGCTATATATACCCCTCCACCCACTCTTCATTCGTGGAGAGAGCCATCAGAACATACCTACACTTCCAATACACATTTTCTAAGAGAGAACCACCTACACTTGTGTTGAGGTCAAGATATTCCATTCCAACCATATGAATCTTGATCTCTAGCCTTCCCCAAGTTGCTTTCCACTCAAATCTTCTTTCCACCAAATCCAAATCTTGTGAGAGAGAGTTGAGTGTTGGGGAGACTATCATTTGAAGCACAAGAGCAAGGAGTTCATCATCAACACATCATTTGTTACTTCTTGGAGAGTCGTGTCTCCTAGATTGGCTAGGTGTCACTTGGGAGCCTCCGACAAGATTGTGGAGTTGAACCAAGGAGTTTGTAAGGGCAAGGAGATCGCCTACTTCGTGAAGCTCTACCGCTAGTGAGGCAAGTCCTTCGTGGGCGACGGCCGTGATGGAATAGACAAGGTTGCTTCTTCATGGACCCTTCGTGGGTGGAGCCCTCCGTGGACTCGCGCAACCTTACCCTCCATGGGTTGAAGTCTCCATCAACGTGGATGTATGATAGCACCACATATCGGGACCATGACAAAAACATCTGTGTCTCCAATTGCGTTTGAATCCTCCAAACCCTTCCCTTTACATTTTTCTTGCAAGTTTCATGCTTTACTTTCCGCTGCTCATATACTATTTTGCATGCTTGCTTGAATTGTGTGAAGATTGCTTGACTTGTGCTAAGATAGCTAAAATCTGTCAAGAACTAAAATTGGGAAAAGGCTAGATTTTTATTTAGTCAAGTAGTCTAATCACCCCCCCCCCTCTAGACATACTTTCGATCCTAGACTCGTGTTCGTGGAGGTCGGCGTTTGGCGTCGTGGTGGCATCGATGGCGGAGGACCTGCCAAGGCACGCATAGGTGGAGGTCGTCGTTTGGCGTCGTGATGACGTCGATGGCGGAGGACCTGCCAAGGTTGACACCTCAATCTACTCTGAAGATGAACTAGTGGAAGATGGTGATGATGACACATGTGAGTGCGCCGGACCGGTTTGTGCCCCGGCCCTAGCAGATGGTGTTGTAGAACGTAGTAATTTCAAAAATTTCCTATGTACACGCAAGATCATGGTGATGCATAGCAACGAGAGGAAAGAGTATCGTCCATGTACCCTCGTAGACCCTAAGCGGAAGCGTTATGAGAACGCGGTTGATGTAGTCGAACGTCTTCACGATCCGACCGATCCAAGTACCGAACGCACGGCACCTCCGAGTTCAGCACACGTTCAGCTCGATGACGTCCCACGAACTCCGATCCAGCAGAGCTTCACGGGAGAGTTCCGTCAGCACGACGGCGTGTTGATGGTGATGATGTTGCTACTGATGCAGGGTTTCGCCTAAGCACCGCTACGATATGATCGAGATGGATTATGGTGGAGGGGGGCACCGCACACGGCTAAGGGATCAATGATCAACTTGTGTGTTCTAGGGTGCCCCCCTGCCCCCGTATATAAAGGAGCAAGGTGAGGGGGCCGGCGGCCT